CAAAAAAAAGCTGAGACACTAAACTTGGAAGTGTTTTTCGGAGTCTCCGCCTGTAAATGTGAATCTGTTGATAAGAGGCGTGAATGTGGACTTAGTTTGCCATAGTTGTGAGGAACGGGCTGAAAGCACTTGTTTGATTGTAGAAGAGCTCAAATAGTGTGGAATATGCACAAGTCATGTGGAATTATTCAGAGACAAACATTCAAGACTTTACACATCGGTGGTGGTGGATCTCAACTCTAGACCTTTTTGTTGTTTCAGAGGCACGCATTCAACTCTCGACCTATTTACTTTAATGGCTCTGAAAAGCTCGGAATATGTGAGTTTTTCAGCGGGTGTGGATGTCGGAGAGTGCTATTGTGCAGGCAGCTCTTAAAGAGTGGAAGGAATTCCAATCTGTGGGGTAATGAGCTATGATGGGGGAGAAAGAGAACGGAAAGAGGCTAGGTTCTTATGTTCAGTGGTTTCTTTGTTTTCCCTTTTGTCTATTTGGTTTGGGTTTTCTTGTTGTTTGGTTGGTTTTCTTGGTTGTTTTGTATGCTAAGGTATCAAATCCTTATGTTTGCCTTTAGTGTATTGGGTTTTTTAGGTTTGCTGTAGACTGCCGGTGGTGTGGCTCTTCGTTTGTATCTTGGAACATAAGACTAGTTTACCTTGTGTTTATACTCTCAATGTTTATATGAGTATCTTCTATCGTTTGAAAAAATAAATAAATAAATAAATAAAAATCAAGGTAAACGTGATGGATAAAAAAAGTGAAATTTCAAGTATGTCTTTTTTGGTAATCCACCGTGCAAAAAATTCTTTTGTATTTTTTTTCTAGGTAATCCAGCATGCAAACAATTTGGCCGATGTCGCATAATTCTCTTGTAACGTAATGATATTACCGAACTGGTAAATACTATGTTCAATTAAAATGTATGAAATTCATACAGGCACACTCTTTGGACAAAAATAAACGAATAAATAAATAAACAAAGAATGGAGGTTAAATAAACCAATTTTTTTCCTAGAGAAACATAACTTCAATTGGTTTATTTAACCTCATGTTGAACAGTGGCAGTTTTTGCTTGATGAACAACCAAAATGGGGGGGACTACTGGCATATATGAGGAGACTGGAATGAGATAACCTGTCCTGAGGAGAAGAAAGGTGGTAGGCCACGATCACTATCATCTTTCAGTGCTTTCAACAAGTTCATTGACCTGATGGGAATGCATGACTTGGGACTGCAGGGCCACAAATTCACATGGGGCAACAATAGACATGGAGATGTTTTGTAGAAGAACAGCTGGACAGAGTATTCTGCTCTTTGGGATGGCTCACACTCTACACAAACTCCCAGGTAACAAATGAGTTTAAGAGCTCCTCTGATCATGGACTTCTAGTCCTCAATCCCAATCCAGACACAAAACCAGTCAAAAGGAGATTTTTCTTTGACATCGATGGCTTCAGAAAGAGGGAGTGGAAGAAGTGGTAAACAAAGCATGGAATTGCTACCAAACAGGAACTCCTATGTTTTGTTACCAAGAAAAGATCAAAGCAGTAAGATTAAGTCTGTTTAAATGGAGCTGCAAGTTCAGATCTGATAATGTCAAGAAGATTGCAAATCTCCACAGACAGCCCACTGAACTAAGATGGGAGGGAGGTCTTAGAGACTGGAACAAATGGGATGTTATTCAAAAAGAGCTAACTGCAACTTACAAAATAGAAGAACAGTATTAGCATCAAAAATCAAGGATTTCCTGGCTCAAACTGGGAGATAAGAACACTAGGTTCTTTCATGCTCATACTACCAACAAGGAAAACAAACAGAATTTTAAGGCTCCTCAGTGATGACTCCTCTATCTGTGAAACCACTTATCCATTGCACAATGTATAGAGGATTTCTACACAAAATTATTCTCCTCTCAAGGCCATTCACTGGATGACTCAGTCCTTCAAAATCTCCACAAAGTCATCACTGAAGACATGAACATTGACCTCATAGCAGCCGTTGAAGAGGATGAAATCAGAGCTGCTGTCTTCTTCCTCTCTCCTCACAAAGCTCCAGGCCAAGATGGTATGACTTCTAAATTTTTCCAACATTTTTTGTCACTCATCAAATCTGATATGTGTGAATTAGTTACTAGTTTCTTTCAGTCTGGAAAATGCTCAAGAGTATTAACCACACCCTCATCACTCTCATTCCAAAAATGCACAATCCTAATAAAATCTCACAATTTAGGCCTATCAGCCTTTGCTCTGTCACATACAAGGTCATCTCAAAAATTCTCAAACAGTCTTAAACCTTATCTGGCTTCATGCATCAGTGACACCCAATCTGCATTCATCTCCAACAGGCAAATCCTAGACAATGTTATCCTAGCTCATGAAATTGTGCATTTTTTAAACAGACACGGGTCAGGTCACTGCTGTTACATGGTAATCAAGCTTGACATGTCAAAGGCCTTTGACAGAGTGGAATGGTCTAGTGTCAAGAACATAATGATAAAATTAGGATTTCATGCTTCTTTTGTCAAATGGATTCAGTTAGGTTAATTTTTTTAGTTCTTAACCTTCCTTTTCCAGTTTTTTTAGTTGCTTGGTTTCTGTTGCTTTGGTTGGTTTAGTGATAACCCTGCTAGGTCCTTGGTTCAATGGTAGGGTTATCTTTTTGCTAGTACTCTCCTTCTCAAGTACAGCTGCTTTAGTTTACAACTTCGGGCCTCATAGCTTCAAACTATGCCGGAAGTTGATGATTTGAAGTAGTCCCTTTAATTTTCGTTTAGTTAGGTGGCCTTCTTGGCACTCCTCTCATTCTACCCTCGGGTAGGCCATTGTATATTGTTGTACATTCTCTTTTGTTATATAAAATGTATCGTTGTGAAAAAAAAATATATATAAAAAAAAATAAAAAAAAAAATAAAGAGAAGGTAGTGATAATTTATGCCAAAAAACACCCATTTGCACTTTACGTTTCAATCTCTAGAACTTCATAAACAGGTGCCTCCCTTGTTCATATTAATCAATCCCACGTTATATTTGATATTTTCTTTAGCAGCATGAGCTCATGTTGTATTCTTACCCCACAGCAAATCAAAGACAAAGACAGTGCACGAGATCTTCAACTCCAACACGACATGAGAGATGTGAGGAATAGTCAAGGAAAATGAAAANAATATATATATATATATATATCTCAATCGTAGCTCAAATTCCTAATAAATTTAAAATACATACTTCATAGAATAACTTGTCTAGCACATCAAAACATTGAGTTTGCAATTTCAGATATATCCATTGCAACCTGGTCATATTCTCCCTTCAACTTCTCTAGTTCTTCTTGGCTTATTTCCCCCTTTGTGGGCTTTGGCAGCACCAGTACACAACAAGTTGGTCTCTTTGTGGCTCCTGCATTTGCAAGATCCTGGAAGAAATGTTTCATATTATTTGCATATATGCATTAGGATAAGTGGCATGTGAGTGAAATAATGTAATCAAGGCTATAAAACAGTTGGGTATCACAAGTCAAGGGCGTCTGCATAGAGAGCTAATTTGTTTGTTAAGTTGCAAAGGTCAAGATTAAGTTGAAAATTTTGGACCCATGAGTTGAAAATTAAGTTGCAAAGGTGACAATTTGCTTGTTACTTCAAACCTAAAGCAGAAGATACATACATACAAAACCCAACTTCCAGATTCTGATCAAAATATTCAGAATTATTAGCAACAAATCACCCACAGGTTGTTTTTTCATAAAAAGCTTTATTTCTCAACCTGAAGTTATGAATCAATTATCCTATCATTAGGTCAAGATTAGGTCAGCCAGGGCTATATTTCTCACAATATTTCTAACCATTCATTAGGCTGAAATAAAAAGGAGCGATTGAGAATTGGTGAGTGGATAAATACGAGGAACTTAAAAGGTGTCTAAAGAAACACTGGTTGGCTTTATCGTTTAAGTAGACATCAGTTATTATGTTGCAGTCAACTGGGTTTAATGAGCAAGAGTTGTAGACTAAGTAGAACTTCATTAACCTAATTAAATGATATTGAAACACACCTCAAAGCACATGCTATTTATTAACTGAAAATGAAACACAACTCAAAGCACATGCTATTTATTAATCACATCACTGCTGTTATAGAAAACACCATGGGAGTGAATCAAAAGCTACTTACTTCTTTTGAGGGAACATAGATATATGGGATGTTAGCTTCTTCACACAAGATAGGTACATGAGTGATGACATCTATAGGCGAAATGTTCCCAGCAATAACACACACTCTGCAATCATCATATGTAACACGGATATCAATTTCAAAAAATGATAATTCCAAATGATAAATAGATATAGTAAGAGATCTGCAAAAGCACTTTTCGATAAGGAACCAATCTAAATTAGCAGCTTAGTAGATGTGTAATAAATCAAAACCTTCTTTAGCAACTCAGTTAAAGAATAATTACTACACATGATAAGTTTCACAAATGGGTTTTTAATCCATTTAAAGTGGGTGCCCAAACACACCCAAAATCTTCTTCAGAAATTCATAGAGCTTTAGTCTCGTCAGTACCCGTTTCCAAGATAAATTTATCCATGAACAAATAAAACTTAGTCATCATTTCGTGCGTGAGGTCCATAAATGGGCTTCTGTGTAGGAGAAAACATATTGGAGATTGCGTACTGTTTAATGAAGTTTCACTTTGAGAAGTGTCACTGCACAGAGCAATTAAGTAATTTCTACTCCAATTAGACATACCCCTTGTTTCCTCGGCGAATACTTTTCACGACCTCCTTAACTCCTCGTTTCAAGCACTTTCGCTCCGCAGCTAAGTGTTCGTAGCAGAATACACAGAAAAGGTAAAGATTAAAATTAATAATAATAATAATAATAACAAATATCAGGGTTAGAGTAGCAGGGACCTCGGCGAACAAGTTTGAGGGTACGTTTGCAAAGCTTCTTGCCAGCTAGCGGTTTGGCTATGGGGGCAAGAGCCAACAGCTTCTTCTTCTCCTTCTCTTTCTGCACACTTTTTTCGTTCTCGCTGTCGCTTCCCATCTCTGGGCAGGGTGTGTGGGCGTGTTTGAGCGACTGAGTTTGGGGTTTTTTCAGATGGCGGAGGCAAGAGGGTTTTGAGAGTGGATCAAACTAAATAGGGGCACTTGCTTTTCAAGACTAGACAAGTTTAGGGCATATAATTTGGTCGCAGTCTTTACCTTCGTTTTCCACCGGCCCGACTAGATAAGACCCGCGAATCAACAGTGAATAATCATGACATTTACATATTACTAGTGTCAGTAATGCTAAGGAGTGGGACAGCTTCCATGTGAGTTGGCTCCTTAGCATTATTGTTACTAATGTATCCCGTCTTTGTAGAGGTTTATTTCTCAAATCTTTTTTTTAAAATTTTATTTTAAATATTTTTTCTTAAAAATTAATCATTTTATTAAAAAAAAAAAGAAAAATACAAAGTATGAAAAAAACAATATGTTATTAAACATTTTTCTATACACAACATTCTTGGTTTGATAAAAAATTAAGTATTTGATATTTTTTTATTAAATAATAGTCACCTTTCACGCAGAAAATTCACGTTTTAGAAGCGCACAAAACTTGTCAATCATCCGTTCACACTCTCTATCCCAACATATAAAAGTGTCATTTGCAGAAGCATCAACGACTCCAAATTGAATCTTGTATCTTTATAAATACGAAAGGCATGTCATATGACAGGAGAATTAAGGTCCGCAGGTTCCAGGTGGGCGACCTAGTCTGGAAAAGAGTGGGCGTCCTGAAACATGTCGGCAGATTGGAGCCAAACTGGGAGGGGTTATACTTGGTCCAAAAAGTCCACGCTGGAGGAGCATATACATTGAAGGACGTTGAAAAGAGATCACTTGTCAGGTCATGGAATGTTGCCAATCTGAAGAAATATTATGCTTAAATTTTTTCTTTTTCTTGGAGATTATTAAAGATGATGTAATCGACATTTCTATCTACGATTAATGAGACCTCATTTGGAGCCTTACAATTGTTGAGTTATTGAGTTATTTTATTTAGAGTACTTGGTGTAACCTCTGCGGCAGGTTACTCGAAGGCAAAAAAATCATCACGACTAAGGTCGTGAGGCTGGATGGTCACATGTATCGACCACCTCTTCGAAGGTGGGCATGTGTTCAAAGGCGTAAAATCCATCATGATTAAGGCCATGAGGCTGGATGGTCGCATGTATCGACAACCCCTTTGAGGGTGGACATGTGTTCGAAGGTGAAAAACCCATCATGATTTAGGACATAAGGTTGGATGGTCGCACGTATCGACCACCCCTTTGAGGGTGGGAATGTGTTCGAAGGCGAAGAATCCATCATCATTAAGGCCATAAAGCTGGATGGTCGCATGTATCGACCACCCTTTTGAGGGTGGGCATGTGTTCAAAGCGGTAAAATCTATCATGATTAAGACCATGAGGTTGGATGGTCGCATGTATCGACCACCCCTTTGAGGGTGGGTATGTGTTCGAAGGCGAAAATCCATCATGATTAAGGCCATAAGGTTGGATAGTCGCATGTATCGACCACCCATTTGAGGGTGGGCACGTGTTCAAGGCGTAAAATCCATCATGATTAAGGCCATGAGGCTAGATGGTCGCATGTATCGACCACCTCTTTGAGGGTGGACATGTGTTCGAAGGCGAAAAATCCATCATGATTAAGGTCATAAGGCTGGATGGTTGCATGTAGGGCAGGCATTTTTTAATCGAAAACCGAATCGAACTAAACCGAACCGACGAGAAAATAAACTGAACCGTACCGAACCGCTAACCGACTATCGGTTACCGAATCACTATCGGTACGGTATCGGTTTGAAACCATAAGAGTTTGGTAACACCGATACCGAACCGATAAGGGTAAAAAAAATAAAACAAAGATTCTTTTTTTCAATAATAAAACAATAATTAGTTGTTTAGTGTTCAAAAATTTAAATAAGGGCTCAATCCTCCTAAATCTCAAAATAACGAGAAAAATACCATTACTCATCGCCTCATTCACCTTCTAATCTGAACATTGTTGGTTTACCAGTCTCACTTCTTCTAAAGAAGATGCATGCTACCGTTACTGTAGTCTATTCTCGTACCACCGTTATTAGATAAGTTAGTTGAAGTTGTATCACAAATTTTATTTCTTGCATGTTAGCAATATATTGTTTTATTAGTTGCGTTTACCACAAAAACCTTAATCTAATAATATATAAACTAACTTCTATACATTAAATTTAAGCTTTTTAATCCTTCAATGGACTTGTGAGTCTTTTGTGTGTATTTAATTGGTAAACAGTGAAAAAAATCACAAAAAAGATGAGAAAAGTAAACACTAGCAATTTTTTTTTTTTTTGTGCTCAAAATCGGTTTGGTTTTTTGGGTATAAACCGATACCGAACCAAAATCGAACCGAGTTTTCGGTTACCAAATCTTCGGTAACCTACTTTAATAGGTTCGGTATCAGTTTTGCATTTCGAGGTTACCGACATTATCGGTACGGTATCGGTATCGGTTCGGTAAGCGAACCGATACCACCCCTAGTCGCATGTATCGACCACCCCTTTGAGGGTGGGCATGTGTTCAAAGGCGTAAAATACATCATGATTAAGGCCACGAAGTCGAATAGTCTCATGTATCGACCACACCTTTGATGGCGGGCATGTGTTCGAAGGCGAAAAATCCATCATGATTAGGGCCATAAGGCTGGATGGTCGCATGTTTCGACCACCTCTTTGAAGGTTGACATGTGTTCAAAGGCAAAAAATCTATCATGATTAAGGCCATTAGGCTGGATGGTCGCATGTATCAACCACCCTTTTGAGGGTGGGCATGTGTTCAAATGCCTAAAATCCATGATGATTAAAGTCATGAGGCTGGATGGTCACATGTATCGACCACCTTTTTGAAGGTAGGCATATGTTCGAAGGCGTAAAATCTATCATGACTAAGGCCATAAGGCTGGACGGTCACATTTATCGACCACCTCTTTGAAGGTGGGCATGTGTTCGAAGGCTACAAATCTATCATGATTAAGGCTGTAAGGCTAGATGGTCGCATAAATTGACCACCTCTTTGAAGGTGGGCATGTGTTCAAAGCCTTAAAATCCATCATGATTAAGGCCATAAAGTTGGGTGGTCGCATGTATCGACCACCCCTTTGAGGGTGGGCATGTGTTCAAAGGCGTAAAATCCATCATGATTAAGGTCATGAGGCTGGATAGTCGCATGTATCGACGACCTCTGTGCATATGTTCGAAGGCATAAAATCCATCATGACTAAGGCCATGAGGCTGGATGGTCGCATGTATCGACCACCACTTTGAAGGTGGGCATGTGTTCGAAGGCGTAAAATCGGTCATGATGAAGGCCATGAGGCTGGACGGTAACATGTATCTACTATCCCATTATGGGGAACATGTGTTGGACGTAATAAGTCTTATTACAATTAAAAAGGTAACGCTGGTCGATTATTAAAGCGAACACGTGACGACAGAGAGTTGTATATAGGACGATAACATTACGCATTGCAAGAAATAAAGCAACGGATAAAAGGTACTAGAATCGAAGCATATCAAAAGAGTTCATTCATTACAAAATAAGGAAGGCACAAATACAATTTTTACATAAACGTAAAACTACAATGGTTTAAGGAGCATTTGTATCGCCCTATACATTGGGATTCGGATTCGGAGAGGCCTGCTCAGGGTTGGCCGCGGGCTGCTGCTCGACTTACTGGCTCAAACCAGAGGTCGATTCCAGTGCTGCGGATAAGGGCCGCAAACGGATCGACTCGACCATAGCCCGAGACATAGAGACATGAGGAGTAATGCTATTGGGCAGCTTGAAATTCTTCTTTAGCACATCAGATCGGGCCAAAGTGCGCTCAAGGTGGCCGACCACCATGGATGATTGATAGGCAGGTTGGGATCACATCGGAAATATTTAGGGACCATGGACATCTAATCCCAAATTATCTCTACGTCGAGGTCCCCGAAATCGTCCTCAGCAATTTGCACCGGCTCTTTCCATTGCGAATTGGAAGTAGTCGGTCCCCATCTCCAGCACCTCTTTCAAAAATTGTGGTGATTCCATGAAGTCGGCCACCACTTGATCGCGTTATTCCTCAAGAAAGCGCTTCCCGACATTAGTATACCATACCATTTGGCGAGCCCAGAGAGCAGCAAAGTCTGTAAGGCGTTTTCTCTCTTGCTCTCGAGCAGCCTTCTTGATGTAGGAAAGCGTACGAGTGGGAAAGATAAACAAGATACTCTCTCGATAAAACCAATAAAATCTTATTTCATTTCAATAATCAACTGAATAAAACAATAGATGAGAAGTCCTTTAAATAAGGCTCCTAAACCTTATTCATAACTTGTCCAACAAGACAAGATCTCTTATAATAATATTTAATTTCTAACTTATTCTCCAACATACCTATAATAAAAATAATAACAATAATAATAATAATAATAATAATAATAATAATAATATACACAATTCTCCCCCGGTTCGGAAGGCTTCGCCCTCGAAGCCGATGCGCACCCGTGGCCGGAGTGTGGTGTCAAACCATAGTAGAAAACCACCGTCGTTTTCCCCGGTCGAACACGAAGGTTGAACGACACTGTGATCTACCTTGGTGAGCCATAAAATCCTCAGCTGCGCGAATGACACTTTTCCTCTCCTCCACTTGAGTTACCCGGCCAACCCAAACAAATACTTCGGAACCACAATCCAATAAATAACATGTTTTGTTTCCGAGAATCGATTTGGAAAGTGCACCATCGTCAACAATGGCAACCTCACACTTCCCTTCATGAAACTGCTGCAACATATATAACCGCGTGTCTTCTTCAACGATTTTGATAGCAGTAGTTCCAGCTTCATCCTTCAGCCCCGAAGGCTCCTTATCAAAGGTCGGCGGACCGTCGTAGAGATCGTCCACTTCGCTAGTAAGACGCTCCTCCACCTCCTCGGGTCCTTCATCAAACATAGGCATCGTACAATGGGCCGTCAACTTGCTCACCGTCAAATTCAGAGATGTCAACGCGAAACGGGCCCTTCCATCGACCATATTTGCGATCAAGTCCCCAATCGTGTCGAGAATGATATCTGCCGTCGAAGGCAGCCTCCTTGCGTCTGCTTTTGTCGTAGCGTTGATCGTCGCCGTCCACGAAGACCGGGCCCTGTCGCCGCATGTCATGGTCGCCTATGCAGGGAAGGGGTCAGCCTCGACATGCAGGGTTGGACAATCATCGAAGGGATTCACCTCCAAGATTGTCTCCTCACCGTCTTCATCACCGGACGGTGGTTGTGGAGATCTCCAGCGGGGCACCCCGCTTAGACCACGGCCTCCAGTTTCTCCGCAAAATCCCCCGCGCATGCCCCGGTTGCCGGCGTCACGGTACGTTTGCTTGTCCCAAACAATGGTACGGATAGTTAGACGTATGTCCCTGATCTCCGCGAACAGATCTGCAATCTCACGACCCATCGTCTAGAGCTGGCAGACAAACCACTCGGTCCGGCGACTCAGGTTGTAGATGGCGTCTGTCTTTTGCAGCATCTTGTCGTTGCGACAGCATTGTGAATCGTGTTGACTTCTGATACCAACTGATGTAGAAAAGCGTACGAGTGGGACGATATTAATGAGATCGCAATCTTAAGAACACCAAAAAACGATATCAAATCTTATTTCATTTCCATAATCAACTAAATAAAATAATAGATGAGGAGTCCTTTAAATAAGGCTCCTAAACCCTATTCCTAACTTGTCCAACAAGACAAGATCTCTTATAATAATATTTAATTTCTAACTTATTCTCCAAGATACCTATAATAATAATAATAATAATAATAATAATAATAATAATAATAATAATAATAATAATAATAATAATAATAATAAATAATAAATAATAATTGTAATAATAATAATAATAATGTAACGCCCCACTTTTATTTTTCGAAAATCAGAATAAATCATATCAAATTTATTTCAAAACACCTGAGACGCTACTCATTTTCAAAACGAACTTCCATACTTAACCAATTTCTCAATACTCAATCAATCATCATACTCAATCATCAACAATATTACTACCCCCCAAAACGGGTTTTCTAAAAATTCATAAGTCACCTAAACCGGGTTCCGACAATATTCATAAATTCTAAGGAGCATCTCCTTAACATTATTCAATCATATAATCTGTAAATCTTAAATACAATAATACTCCAAGTTCATATTCCTAATAACCAGTTCACAAATGCGGAAGCATAACAAATAATCAGACCGGTCTTATAAACCGGCCACCACTCGCTCTACTCCGCCGTCGTATCTGCCTCGCTTAACCTAAAACGTGAACAGGTGGGGATGAGCACAGTTGGAAAAAGCAGTGCTCACCACTATGCAGTAAACATTAGTCAATATATAAAAACAGTAATCGTAAATATGTTCAAGTATGGTCGCAGCATGTATACGAAACAATCAATTATCCCAACCTCCCATCAATCATATCAATAATAGACTCATGTGCACACCTACGCATAGACTACTGCTGCTAGACGTATCGAATGCCTTCGTTCAGGCCTTACATCAACTACCCAGCCAGTAGGAGTATCCCCCCTCCGTCGGCCGAGCACCGCCCTGGTCTCACAATGGGGAACCGACCGAGCACAACCCTTGTCTCATACCTCCGACCGAGCACAACCCTGGTCTTACAGGCGTAAAGAACCCCACGGGTTTCATTTCATAAATACGGGGCAATCGTTCGACGGCCGGTATAGCTCACATCGAAGGCTACATGATTCGCATGCATACACCGATCATACCACACGTAAGAAAATATGTTATTGCATAGCAAATTTGAAATAAAACCCACAAATTATACGTTTATAACATTTACAGCATAGTCAATTTTTAGAATAACAACCCACCTGGTAGATCGGTAGAGAAGTCACACAAACAGGTCGGTAGGTCAAGGGCTCGACTCCTCAAACACCTACATTAAGTCCAGATGCTATAATCAACATCCATTCTGACTTAAACAGAATTCACAATTATTCTTAGCCGAACTTGATTCGACTAAGTTGTTCGTGAAGTCATGTGGACATTGGAACACTTAGACTCGACACTAAGACTCAACCAAATACACATGGGAGTTCACATAATCCAAAAAAAATATTGACCAAGTCAAACACTCAAAGAAACATAAAGCGAGTCAATTCACAGTTTTTAATATAAAAAACCATATATATGAAAATACAAGTTTTTAACTACAAAAATAGGTTGGTCAGGTTATTATATGAATTTAACTCTGAAATTTTAACCAAAATTTCACCTCCTAGAGATAAGCAAAACCACCAATTTCCAGCCACAAACTCAAAGCATGCTATTTTATAAAATTCGAGCAAGTTTATGTCAAAATCAAGCATAAATTAGCAACCAGATCAAATGAATGAATTAACCTATGAAATATTTATACCACAGACTACAACATGAGAGTGATAACATATCCAAATTTCAGCCCTGGGCATTAACTGTACAAATTTTAAAAATTTCTACAGTTTTCGTCAGTTATCAAATTTCAATTAAAACCAAACCAAATTGAACTCCAAAAATTCCCACCTTTTAACAGAATGATAATACACATAAAACAAGTACTCCAACCAAGTTTCAGAATTTTTCAACAACCAACAGATTTATGATAAATAAAAAAAGTTTTGGAAAAATCAGAAAATAAATTATTTACCCTATCAAACTTAATTAATCAATTCTAAACATTTTACACAACATACAATAATAATAGAGGCATAACATACTCAAGTGTCAGCCAATTTCGATCACTACACAATTTATTATGCAATTATCATGAAACTAACCAGAAAATCATGCTAATTTATTAAAATAGCTACAGACCTCCTAAAATCATGAAATTTTTACACCATCCACATATTCAGTTGAGGCAATTACCCTCAAAATTTCAAGGCAAACGGATCAGCGAGAAATTTATTATTAATTTAATACCAAATTAGCATCCAAACGATTCCAACAATTCATATAAGACTCGAAATTGTCTGAGGCCTTAACCATAACGCCTAGAACTTCCAAACGTTCCATATCCACAGTGCTTAACACGATTTAACAAGGTCTCATTTGATTTCTCAAAATCGACGAGATCAACGCATAAGCATATATATATAATGAGGTTATTCATTTATATCTCAAACAAGAAATTTAAATATACACACGAATAACATAAGGCATATTATTATAACACATAACATATAAACCTAAAAGAGTTAAAGTTCGAGCTGTCAATACCATTCTCGGGAAAGACGCTCGAAAACGAGTCGAAAGAGGGCTTTTCGAGGGTCGGGAACACGCGTGTCGGGCTCGGCAGCTTGCGCTTGACTCGCGGCTCGTATGATGCGGTTTCCTCTCCACTCGAAACGGCAGCTACTCACTATGCGGCTCGAACAAACGGCTCGAAGGCTCCTGTTCGGATTTAGGACCTGCTGTTGCTTGAAGGTAGTCGACGTGGGACTGACGAGGGTCGATTGTGTTTCTTTCTCGTTGAAAGAAAAACTCCCGGCTGTCGCTCCTTGGCCAAAGCTTTGGATGGTTGTTCACTGGAGAATTCACGGTTGTTGCTATGCGGGGAAGAAGAGAACTAAAACTACTGCCACCCTCGACGAGGTGCTGCAGGAAGGGCTCGCCGGTCAATTCACGGTGAGGAGAAGCTTCGCCGGCGTGAGGGAAGCTCCGGTCGCGGCGTGGCGGGTTGTCGCGGCGTGGCGGGTTGTCGCGGCGTGGCGGGTTGTCGCGGCGTGGCGGGTTGTCGCGGCGCGGTGGGAGCTCTGGCTGCGGCGCGGCGGGGCTCTAGTCGCGGCGTGACAGTGAAGGATCTCGCGGCGTGGCCCTGGTTCACAGCGTGGAGGGAACAGCGATGGCGGTGACAGACGTCGGCGGGACTGTGCGTGGACAGAGGTTCGGCGGCTGGTTCTCTCGTCTGTGGATTTGACACCAGTGATAGTGTTGTCGACGGCTAATCTCGCGGTGGATGCCGACGAGAATATTCAGAGGAAAAGTGACGGTGCAGGGTGAAGGTGATCGGGAAGGATGATGATGATGACGAGGGGCGTTGATGGTGAAGGTTTCAGAGGAAGGTAATGGCGAGCGGAGAGGATCGATGAAGACAAGGGATTTTCTTTGCTCAAAAATCACGCGACCGAGAGAGAGGAAAGGCTGCGGGGAATTTCTGATTTTTCCCTCTTTGAAACGAGACCAAAAATAAGGGGCTAGGGTAAACTCTTGTCTTGTAGGCCAACACACACACAACACACACTTGGGCGGGCTGTTCGGGTCGGGTCTGACGGGCTGGGTCGCGCGGTTTGAGGTTGGTTCAATGAAACGATTCGGCTCTCGGGCCCGACTAGACGTAGCTTCAATACGGTTTTTCTCGGACTCGATAAATTAAATCGGATCATATATATATATTTATAATACACACAATCAAATTTTAAAAATAACAATATTAATAAAAATACAAATATACAATTTAATTAAATAATAACACTTAGACAATTAATTACAATTTGACAATTAAATAATATTTAGACAGTTAAGCAATTTGACAAATAAATTATATAGACATTTCATAATATTTAACATTCAGCAAATAATAATAACAACAAATAAAGATAAATAATAATAATAAATAATAATCCCCAAATATTCTATAATCAAACGGGGCATTATAATAATAATAATCTACACCATTCAACTGATGTAGGAAAGCGTACGAGTGGGACGATATTAATGAGATCGCAATTTCAAGAACACCAAAACACGATATCAAATCTTATTTCATTTCCATAATCAACTGAATAAAACAATAGATGAGGAATCCTTTAAATAAGGCTTCTAAACCCTATTCCTAACTTGTCCAACAAGACAAGATCTCTTATAATAATATTTAATTCCTAACTTATTCTCCAAGATACCTATAATAATAATAATAATAATAATAATAATAATAATAATAAATAATAATAATAATAATAATAATGATAATAATAATCTATACCATTCTCCCCCGGTTCGGAAGGCTTCGCCCTCGAAGCTAATGCGCACCGGTGGCCGGCGTGTGGTGTCAAACCATAGTAGGAAACCACCGTCATTTTTCCCGGTCGAACACGAAGGTTGAACGGCACTGTGATCTACCTTGGCGAGCCACAAAATCCTCGGCTGCGCGAATGACACTTTTCTTCTCTTCCACTTGAGTTACCCGGCCAACCCAAACAAATACTTCAGAACCACAATCTAATAAATAACATGTTTTGTTTCCAAGAAACGATTTGGAAAGTGCACCATCGTCAACAATGGCAACCTCACACTTCCCTTCATGAAACTGCTGCAACATATATAACCGCGTGTCTTCTTCAACGGTTTTGATACCACCAGTTCCAGCTTCATCCTTCAGCCCCGAATGC